GCTTACTCAGCACAACAAGTAACACCTTTCATTCCAGGAATGAATATAGGAGGAGGAGATCAAGTACTAGAAACATTAATTAAACAATTGGCTGGGTTGATGCAAGGGAATAAAAATTCCCAACAAGAACAAAGACCTAGAATACAAAATAATGGAAGTCGTCCACCGATCAAATGTTTCCACTGTAATCAACCTGGACATGTTAAATGGAACTGCCCACAACTCCAGAATAATAACAATAATAATAACAACAACAACAACAATAACAACAATACTAATAATAGTGGCAAGGCAGGAGTTGTTTGTTATCGCTGTAGAGAACCAGGACATTATAGTATGAACTGTCCCCAAAATAGTAATGGGAATAATGGAGGAAGTAGTAACCAAGGCAACAATAATAACAACAATAATAATAACAATAATAACAACAATAGTAATGGAAACACACCAAGGGTAAATAATAATAATCGCCAGAATAATAATAACCAACATTCTATGTTGGCAGATTTGGTTGAAGATAAAAAGACGGTGAAACTAATGTTGCCAGTAGAAACAAAAAGACAGAAGACCAATGAAGATGGAGGAGGAATAGCAATGGATGTTCAAGATGATGAAGATAGTGATGCAAGAAAAAGGAAGGAACCAAGAAAAGAAACCAAGGATGCAAAACGGAAACCAGCAAGGAAGAAAAGAAATGCTACTCAACCTCCTATTTCGAATTTAATACAACCCTACTCAATAGTTACAGACATAAAGAAACAGAAGGCTGACATTACCTTCGGACAATTGTTCCATGCAATGCCAAAGTTAAGATCTGAGATGGCAAAGAGTTTGCGAACTCCTCAAACAAGGAAACCAAAGAAGACAAAACCTGCTGAACAACTTAATGTGGACAAAAAATTCCCAACAAGAACAAAGACCTAGAATACAGAATAATGGAAGTCGTCCACCGATCAAATGTTTCCACTGTAATCAACCTGGACATGTTAAATGGAACTGTCCACAACTCCAGAATAATAATAATAACAACAACAACAATAACAACAATACTAATAATAGTGGCAAGGCAGGAGTTGTTTGTTATCGCTGTAGAGAACCAGGACATTATAGTATGAACTGTCCCCAAAATAGTAATGGGAATAATGGAGGAAGTAGTAACCAAGGCAACAATAATAACAACAATAATAATAACAATAATAACAACAATAGTAATGGAAACACACCAAGGGTAAATAATAATAATCGCCAGAATAATAATAACCAACATTCTATGTTGGCAGATTTGGTTGAAGATAAAAAGACGGTGAAACTAATGTTGCCAGTAGAAACAAAAAGACAGAAGACCAATGAAGATGGAGGAGGAATAGCAATGGATGTTCAAGATGATGAAGATAGTGATGCAAGAAAAAGGAAGGAACCAAGAAAAGAAACCAAGGATGCAAAACGGAAACCAGCAAGGAAGAAAAGAAATGCTACTCAACCTCCTATTTCGAATTTAATACAACCCTACTCAATAGTTACAGACATAAAGAAACAGAAGGCTGACATTACCTTCGGACAATTGTTCCATGCAATGCCAAAGTTAAGATCTGAGATGGCAAAGAGTTTGCGAACTCCTCAAACAAGGAAACCAAAGAAGACAAAACCTGCTGAACAACTTAATGTGGACAGACATAAAGAAACAGAAGGCTGACATTACCTTTGGACAATTGTTCCATGCAATGCCAAAGTTAAGATCTGAGATGGCAAAGAGTTTGCGAACTCCTCAAACAAGGAAACCAAAGAAGACAAAACCTGCTGAACAACTTAATGTGGACATGAGATCTACTGCCATGTATTGTAAAGCCAGTATAAGTGGAAAAAGTTTTCCTATAATAGTAGACAGTGGAGCTGCTGGGAGTATAGTATCCAAAGGACTATTAGACAAACTCGGAATGGAGATCCCACGGAAATCAACGGTAACCATTATTAATGTAAACGGACAGAAAACTTCACCTTTGGGAGAAGTAGATGATTTACCTTTGACTATAGGAGGAATTACGATTCCATTATCTGCAATAGTTACAGAAGCAAATACCTATCATGCCATACTTGGAAATGACTGGTTGTCTAAAGTAGGAGCTGTGGTAAATTGGAATGAATCAAAATTGACCTTTTCCTGGAAGGATCAAAAAGCAACAGTAGATGTTAAAGACTAGTGCCGTAATCCAAAAAAGGAAAAAGTATGGTTGCAAAAGTGGTCGCAAAGGTAATTGCAACCACT